TTGATTTATACATTACTTTAGTACATTTTCATGTATTCCTTTAAGACTTTGGGTTTATTTTCTAAAACAATCTTATAACTTTAGAACTAAATGAGATTTGTAATGGTACTCTACCTGGTTCATCGCAGTGACAAACTCACCCAAGTAAGTTGAAGTATCGCCTATATTTTAAAGAAAATAATGAAGGAATTCTACAGTTTTTGTTTTGGTCCAAATCTGATATTTAACCGCTGTCTGTCCATTTATGTAATTGCTGGCCCTGCATATTAATGTCACTTTTTTGTTGTCATTTAAAATGAAGGAAGTTAGTTTTTCTTTTCCCCATAGTAGTTTCTCTGCAGCTTTGTTTAATACTTAATAATATTTAACTCATTGAGCTTTAGCTAACATTCTGATCATTCCTGGGTACACATTTCTGAACATCATATTCTTCAGAACTTTTAGTTAGTTATAAATATGACACATGAGACAGAATATTTTTATAAATTGCTAGAATAAAATATTTTGTAGCTCTTTAAACCTCCCAGCCCTCAAACCTCTGAGAAAGAAGATGACTACTGCATTGGCCTGGTTTGATTACTGTATTAGACTGCCAAGAATCTTGTGTATATATTTTGCTGATATATGTCCTAGGGCAAGGGAAACAAAGGAAAAAATAAACATAAGGGACTACAGCAAATTAGAAAGCTTCTGTACAAAATAAGAAACCATCAACAAAATGAAAAGGGAACCCACTGAATGGTAGAACATATTTGCTAATTATACATTTGATAAGGGGTTAATTTCCAAAATTTATAAAGAACTTTCAAAACCCAACACCAAAAAAAAACCCCAATCCAATTAAAAAATGGTCAAAGGACCTGAATAGACATTTCTTCAAAGAGGACATACAAATGGCCAATAAACATATGAAAAAATGCTCAACATCACTAATCATCATAGAAATGCAAATTAAAACCTCAATGAGATATCACCTCACACCTGCCAGAATAGCCACTATCAATAAATCAACAAACAACAAGTGCTAGTGAGGATGTCGAGAAAAGGGAACCCTAGTTCACTCTTGGTGGGAATGCACACTGGTGTAGCCACTGTGAAAAACAATACGGAGTTTCCTCAAAAACTTAAAAATGGAACTGCCTTTAGATCTAGTGATTCTACTTCTGGGAATATATCCTAAGAATCCCAGAACACGAATTCAAATTAACACATGCACCCCTATGTTCATAGCAGAGTTATTTACAATAACCAAGACCTGGAAACAGCCCAAGTGCTCATCAGTAGATGAGTGGATAAAATATAACTGTGGTACATTTACACAATAGTATACTAGATGGCTGTTTAAAAAGAGGAGGAGGCGGAAATCTTACCTTTTGCAACAGCATGGACCTAGAGAATATTATATGAAGTAAAATAAGCCAATCGGTGAAAGACAAATACCATATGATCTCACTTATATGCAAAGTCTAATAAACAAAATAAATTGACAAAATAGAAACAGAGGCATGGATACATGGAATAGACTGACAGCTGTCAGGGGGAAGTGGAAAGACTGGGAGTGGATGAAAGAAGGTGAAGGGATTGGCTAAAGAACATATGTGAACAAACTGACAGTAACCAGAGGGGAGGTGGGAGGGGATAATGGGAGGAAAAGGCGTAAGGGTTTTCAGGAATATGTATAAAGGACACTTGGACAAAACCAAAGGGGGATCAAGGGTGGGAAGTGGGGATGGCTGGGATGAGGGGAAAATGGAGACAACTGTACTTGAACAACAATAAGAAATGTGAAAAAAGGAACATATATGCGCAATCCACAGACAAAGACAAAAGTGTGGTGGTGGTCAGAGGGAAGCAGGGCAAGCGTGGGGGGCAAGGTAGGCAACGGGGGAGATGGGGACATCTGTAATAGTGTAAACAATAAAAATAAAGGAAAAAAGAATTTTGTGTGTATATGTTGTTTTAAAAACAGATAACATTAATTTTACCATCTTAATGATTCTTCAATTTACAGTTCAGTAGTGTTAAATATGTTTATATTGTTGTGTAACAGATCTCTAGACCTTTTTCATATTGCAAACCTAAAGCTCTCTATACCCACTAAGTACTAATTTCCCCTCCCACCCTGGCACCCACCTTTCTACTTGCTTTGATTTTGACTACTTTGTATAATTTGACTAAAATCATACAATATTTGTCCTTTTATGACTAGCTTATTTCATTTAGCATAATATTGCCAAGGTTCACTTATGTTGTAGCATGTAACAGAATTTCCTTCTTTTGAGGTTGCATTGTATATCCACATTTTCTTTATCCATTCATCTGTCAATGGATATTTGAGTTGCTTCCACCTCTTGGCTATTGTGAATAATGCTGAGATAAGCATGGATGTGCAAATATATTAAGCATCCTGACAGAACTTTTTATGACTAAATAAATGCTTATCTATTAGCATTCCTAAAATTGAATAGAAATATTTTCTTCTATATTATGTTAGCTATTTTTCCACACCTAAGCCATCCCTTTTGAAAATATTAATTCTGTTTTTTTTTATCTTTAGTTCCCTTGCCCTACTGTGACCAGATTTGAATATAATCTTTTTCTAGTCCTTCCTTTATATGAGCCTTTTCCTGTTCATTCTGAACTTTCTGCTGTCTGTATGTTCTTAGCTCATTCCTATATATCCTCTTCCCCTTCACCCTCCCTTTCCTCCTTTGTTGTCATCTTATCTTTTTATTTAAGTAAAGATAAAAATAAAAAAGAAGAAATAAATGGATATGCTTGTTTGGTGCCATCTATTAACTGACATCACTGTCCTCTCTTTATCTAAATCCCAACCCTGGTTAAATTCAGTTCACCACCTACTCCAGGCCTGAACTCTGCCAGGTAAAATGAGGAACTAGGTTCAACACACAATCATGATGATTGCTCTCACTTAAAATTATGACCACAAATCCCCAGTGTTTTCATGTGCTGCCAGCAGTCATGCTCTATTTCTTTAGTCTGATGGTTCTCAAAGTATGGTTCCCAGACCAGTAGCATCAACATCACTCAGGAACTTGTTAAAAATGAACATTTTTTTTTACTTCATCCCAAACCTTATGAATCAGAAACTCTGGAGTAGAGGGCAGTAAATCTGTGTGATTTTAACGCAACTGCCTTAGTCAATTCATGCTTCTATTTTTTTAAAATACTTTTTCATACCTTCATTCTTCTCAAATTGCCAACAATCCCCTCCCTTCCCAACTCCCACCTGATGATCAGTTTTATTTCAAAGTAAATGGAAAATAGAAGTACTCAGAAGATAACTTCCTCATCTTCCTGCATGTACATCTGTCTGCATCTACAGGTGCTCCTGTACCCTGCCTTCTTCACTGTCACCAGGACCAACCTCCCATTCCACTTGTGCATCTCATCCCATCCCCCTCTCTCTTTTGGAAATATATTTCCTCTCTACAGATCTTTCCCATCAGCACACAAATGTCTCTCTTTAAAAAACAAAACAAAAACAAACCTCCCTGAAAATCCTTAGGTACTGCTATGGAGTCATCTATTGGACATGCTGTTATGTGAAAATGTTGAATATTTATATGTATTTCCTATTTTCAAAAAAAAGAAAGATAAACCAAAAATTAATACCAATAGTTACCAATGAGAAGAGAGAGGTTGGGAATGAGGAGAGGGGCCAAAAGCTAGAACTCTCTGAATGGTATTTGTTTACAGTTTTCACTTGGGAACTATATACATATTTTATATGATTAAAATATCAAATTAGGTCAAAATCTGATTGAAACAAATTGATCTTACTATGTAAAAAATTGAAAGGATAACCACAGGAAGTCTTTTACCTGGACAAAGTCAAATGGGGGTAGGATTGAGGGTGGGAGATGGGGGTAGGTGGGGTGGGGATAAGTGGTGGTGGGAAAATGGAGACCACTGTATTCAAACATTAATAAAAAATGACTTAAAAAAGTCTTTTAGGTGACTAAAATAAAATGGGGTTGCTTCTACATAATTTTAGACTTACAGAAAAATTCAAAGGACAGTACAAAGAACTACAGACACCTTTTGCTCAGATTTCACATGTCAACATTTTTCTACATTTGTTTTATTCTTCTTAGTCTCTCTTCATCTAGCACTTTATCTACCAACGTATATATACTTCCTCAAAATAAAAAATCCTCTTAATGGCCACAGTATTATTATCAAACTCAAGGAATTTATTATTGAAAGAATATATAGATATTTTTCCAATTTCTCGGCTAAAGGCAGGCCAAGTATCTCTTTTCCCCCTTCTGGTTTCTCACCTCCCATGCCCACAGAGGAAGGGCAGGTTCAGAGAAAAGGCATGCCCAGGGAGGGCAGTGAATTCCCTAGGAGCCCGGCTCAATGAGAGTCATTTAATCTGACCCTTCTTATTTAGGGGTGAAATGAATAAAGAAAACAAAGAGGCTGGGAGGGTGGACCAAAAAGAGCCATCAGCATCCCCTAAAGGCCAAGATAAACTGTAGGTAAAATCAGAAGTTTCAAGAAACATTTTAGCACAAGGTGTAAAATATATTATTCCTTAAACAAATGTAGACTGTCACTCAAAGGAAGAAAATATTGCATGAAAAAGGCAGAAAATATATCTTTCTTGAGCATCCATGCTTCCTGAGTAATTATTTTTTAATTATGTTTAAATTATTGATGCCATACAATATTATATTAGTTTCAGGTGTACAACATAGTGATTAGAATCCTGAGTAATTCTTAGCACCATAGCCCAATATTGGAAGCAAATAATTTCTGAAAAATATTACATAGAACAGGTAAGTCTTTGGAGAAAGCCAAAAGTGAGAATAGGACAAATAATTCAAGTGTCCAAAATAATTCTGGAAGTTTTTACTGTATTACTCTATTGCCATGTTACTTGGTTTTGTGCAAATTGAATTGTTCATCTTAAATTAATCTTTATTTTTGGTTTGTTTTTTATTTGTTTGTTTCTTTGTCTTTCTTTTCAGCCCCACTGTGTTCTCCTCGCCTCAAAGGAAAACTCGGCACCTGTTAAACTTGGGGGCTTTGGGGTAGCTATTCAGTTAGGGGAGTCTGGACTTGTAGCTGGAGGTAAGAACACTTTTAAAAATATTCTTCAAAACCTGGTCACTTTTAGGCTGATGTAAAACTTTCAAAGTAAATATTAGCCTGTCTTCAGTGTTTCATACCCTGTTCCACCCAACCCTACCCTGCCCCCCAAAAGTACCATCATACAGTTTTGAATTTAATAACTCTGTAGTCACAACTAGAATTTTAGTCCCTTAAGAATAGGCTGTCCTTTTATTATTTGTATCCTCCATACTTAACAGAGAAAAGACCCTACATAAAGAAATATTTGAAGCAGTGACTTTTAATGTTGAACTGACCAAACGACACCAAATCAAAATTGTATGGATTATCTACTCTCAGGCTTGTACCTATAGCTAGTTTTTAATTTCACACTGTTTTACTCATTCCGTTTGTCAGAGAACTGTTCAAGCCATAATCTGTGTATTTCAAAAGAGCAAGCAGATGTGAATGCAGACTGATTTTATTATTAGCCAAAGCAAAACATAACTGGAAAATTCCAGGCCAGAGAATGAAGAAAAGTTAAAATAGAGACTTTCTTCACTAGTGTACAGAGGTGGATGCTAACTACAGATTCAAATATTTGGGGTTTTTGTTTATTCTTTTGAATAGACTCCAACTCAGAATGCTACTCTATTTTTAGTTATCTTCCTTAGTTTTGCAAATTACTTAGTTCTCTATTCTACAGACTAACAGTTTTCTAGTCATTTCCTTCTCTTTTCTACCTCCAAATACTGCCAGCCTTCACAAAGAGGAAAAATATGGAAAATATCAATGGGACTTTTTAAAACCTGTCATCTTTCAAGCTTGCTTGTATTAAATTCAAATACCTGACAAATGATAAATATCAAAATAATAATGTTACACAGGCTATTTCATTTCATTCACTAGTACTAAAACAGCACAGTAGTATTAAAGAGACCATCAACTGAAAAATGAGCCATGAGTCATAGTTATATTCTTTAAATCATTATTTCACCACATTGCCCTCTAAAATTAAATTAGGTTTAAATTTTCTTTCTGTTTTACATTTTCTTCCAGCTAATCATTTCTAGTGATATGAGAAACTACAAGTTGAATATAGTTTTAAAAACTGATTTCTTTTCCTAATTCAGAACTTTTCATTGGTAATCAGAAGACTGACCAAAGGATCAGGTGGTAAAGCATAGTTTAATCATAAAGTCATTGAATCTCAGGATTCAAAGGGGCCTTAACTTCTTTACTCTTATAACTAAAGATTGAATTCTCTCAAAAATTCCCAGCAAAAGGTTGAGCTGTAGTTGAATTCCTCAGATGGCAAAGAATTTACTATGTCCCAGGACAATTTATTCCATTTTTGGAAAGCTCCTTAAGTATTGGAACATTTTTTTTAATTATTGAAATATTCATTCTTGCATTGAATAGAAATCTGTCTTCCTATAACTTCTACCCAGTGGTCCTAATTCTGACTTTTGGAGCCAGGCTGAACAATTTTAATCCTTCCATGTGATAACCATTCAGATGTTTGAAGACAGCTGTCATTTTCCCTGAAGTCTTGTCCAAGTTAACTTGCCTAGCTTAATCTTGCCATACCTCATGTAAACAGGTTCAGAATTTCCTCACTATGCACAAAGTACGGAGCTAGAACTGAATATAACTACAGGTGCAGTCTGGCTCACAGGAATTTGGAGCTATCACTTCTTTTGCTGTGGGTCTTAAATTTCTCTCAGACTCCCCAAGTTGCATTAGCTTTTTGGACAACCACATGATGCTGCTGGTCCAAATTAATCTTGCAATCAACTAAAAGTCTTAATTGTTGTTTTTAAACAAATATTGCTGTTAAACTAACATTCAAATTCGGTATTTGTACAGATCATCCTTGTGTTAAGAGTACACAATTATAACAAGTAATTTCTGACAAATACACCCCTAAGGTAGATGGGATAAAATGAAATGAAACTAATTCCTCTTATCTGTTATATACTGGTTACATATAATGACTTTGTTTCTATTGATCTAGATCAGCATCCTGTTAGTATTCAGAATGACATGGACTTCATATTTTAGTGTGCATCTCAATTGAGTGGGAAAAACAGATTCATTAAATTTACCTGGACATTTTCTACATGTTCATCTATTTTCCAAAAGTCCATTAACCTTTTCCCTTAATTGCATATTTTCAAAGCTGATTTTGAACCAAAAATGTGTGTTATGCAAAATTTATTTTTATCACTGCTTGTAGAGTTAAAACATTTCCTGATGGACAAAGTATTGTCATTTCTTAACATACCTTTCCTTACAGTTTTGAAATAACTACTTTAATCATTACAATGTCTTTTAAAATCATTACAGTATCATATAAAAATATATATGTAGATAGGGATAAATGATTTTTATAAAAAGCTTTCCTGTTGTTTAAGTTACTCTTGAAAATTTTGTTAATATTTATCAGCTAATTTGCTGATATTTAACAAAAAGGTATTTTCCTGTCAGTTGGAAACTTTGATCAGTCAGTCCTCCAAATGGAAAGAAATTCCCTCTCTTATTATGTTCCATATAGTAAAAACCATTTACATATACAGGATAGATTAAGTAGGCTTACAGTTGTACAAATAAATAATACAATAATTAATAAATAATACAAGAAGAAACTCTCTGTTTCACATACTCACAACTATAAACCTACTTTTGTCCACCCCTGTATTTATACTTCTCCTATATAAAACTCAACTATTTGGAAAACTTTTCTAGAAGATAGCTAAGAACCTAAAAAATCATTATAATAGCAGCAAGACTCTTCCTGCCTTTAAAACCTGCAGATTGAAATGGGAGGGAGGTGAGGAGGGATGGGTGGGTGGGCTGGGAAGGGAGTAAAGGACAAAAAAGTGTACTTGAACAGTGATTAAAATAAAATTTTAAAAAAAGAAAAGAAAAAAATAAAACCTGCAGATTGTCCTCTCAACTGAGCATCTAAAGACACTGTGAGGCTGGCATACTCTCATTTTACAGAAAGTTGTCTGGATTTGTGTTCCTTTATATCTTACACCTCTCTACCCCCTGGTTTGAATGCATTTTGTGATTTTATCTAGATCACAGGTGGCAAACACAAGGCCCATGGGCCAAATCTGGCCCTCCACCTTGTTTTATCCAGCCCAGCACCTTGTTTCTGCCCAGCAGCAGTGCCAAGCTTCTTGCCTCTAGTTAAGGAGTAGTTACATTTTTACAGTCCTAAAATTACATTTGGCCCTTTGAAGGTAACCACAAGGCTGAAGTGGCCCCAAGTGAAAATGAGTTCGACACCCCTGATCTAGATCGGTTTTACTCTTCTTGAAGCCTGAGCTAACAATCATCTTAAGAGCAGGCTGAGATTCACCATCCCAAGTTAGGTTACCTACTCTTTCTCTTCCATATTACCATAACTATCTGAGCTACATACCTCCATGTAGCATTTGATGCAGAGATTTGTAATCATGTGAAAGACTAAGCTTTGTTAGGGTCCAGGGGGATCATGGCTTATCCCTCTGTATGTCCACAGCACCTACCATGGTGTCTAGGACCTAGTAGGCACTTAAGAAGTTGTTATTAAATGAAAGATTCTGTTTGCTCATTAGTTTGCAGGTAACAGCAGATTTTATGCAACAAATTAGAAGCCAAGGCTGGAGTGAGCCTAGTGAGAGAAAAGAAATGAAAGCCAAACAAAAAAAGATACATCGATCAGATACCATAACTTGGAAAGCACAGCAGCATTTTAATACTGATCAAACCTTGCATAGAGCTGAAGTTCCTGAGAGGGTTTCCTGTTATATACCATTGTTCTTTAATTGATATCCACAATGGCAATTCTGAGTCATCAAGAAAAGGCTAAATTATGTGCAACATCTTGTGTAAAAGACGTCAGGAAATTGAAGGAAGATAGCCATCCAAGACTGGTAAAGTAAAAAGGTTTGTGTGCATAAAGATTCAAGTTCTACAGTATTGAATCTGTAGCTATTCAAAACAATTCCCTCCCTGAAGTTCTGGGTAATAAATTCTTATTATATTATCAGAAAACATAGCATTTAAATATTTAAGTTTATCTGATGTATGTCATAATACAGTGACATTTAATTTGATTTGATGACTGGCTTCCTCTTCTTAGAATTTTGTGGTCAAAGTCATAAAAATCAAGTGGCCACAAAAAAGGAAAAGCTCACAAAGATCACAAAGAAGGAGTTTGGGGTGGTCAGTAAAGGTTAATTCCAGTACTTCTACATTCTACTGATGTGCACAAAATAAAAAAGATCATTCCTATATATTCTTTCTACCATTGTCTTCTATCATCTATGAGCAAATTCTTGAACCAAAATACATCAGGGTAGTCTTCAACCCAGATAAATGTAGAGAAGCTCTTCAGGATGACTGGGGCTGGCCATGGTGGCTCTGACTAATCCCAGAATGAGGCCCCCATTTTGAGTCACTTGTACCTTTCTTGTGTGGGAAGTGGTAAGAAGTAAGTTGAGTTTCAAAGCATTATGAAAACTTGCCAGCAGGTACTCTGATCTCTTGTCCTGCTCTTCCTTTCTCATGCCAGCTCCTATCCATTAGAATAGGGTAAATCTCCAATGGCCACACCCTGTCCCAGGCTGTTAAAAAAGTAGGAGGCTTAGGTCTCATCACTTCAGCTTCTTTATGTTATTCGAGGAAGCAAAATGGGAAATAAAAATATTTTCTTCTAACCAGTGGAGTTTTCACTGATCTGCTGTACCTTTTAAATGAAGATATTTTCACTCTCTAAACCCTGAACTTAATTTCTTCTGTTGTGGGGGAGGGAGAGGAACCATAATGATCTGCAGCAAGGAACATCCCCAGCACACAAACTAAGACTTGCTTTATCAGTCTCCATCCAAACCAAGTTTGACAATGACTAAATACAACTTTATGATACATTCTAACTGGATTTGAATATCTCTAAGGTCTTAATCACAGTATTATGCAGTGTTCAAAGTAAAAATAATCTGGGATTCTCCATGGAGAAAGAGAGAGAC